CTTTTGATTAGTTACCTTATAGTCAATGATAGTGTACTATTATTTTGTTAAGGGTAGTATAATTGCAACAGCAAAATGCTATTTACAAAGACTCTCAAGTTAGGGCTAAAGAGATGTAGCTCAGTGGTTAAGCTCATTGGCTGCTCTTGCGAAGGATCCAGGCTCAGTCCCCAGCACCCACATGGCTGATCACAACTGTCCATAATGTGGACACCAAGCACACGTGGGATGTATACATACATGCAGGAAAACACTCATACACACAAAATAAAAATTCTTTTAACAAATCTTCATCAATGAAATGATTAGAGCCATTAACTTGTTTTGCTGCTTGTCTTTTAGTTAGCGCTAATAAGGGTTTTAAAAACCAGTTTTAGAGATCAGACAAAAATGTAATAATAAGAACGGCGGGGCTGCATTCCGGCCACCCCAGCTCCCACATGACTAGCTTATGCCCCGAAATAATTACACGGAAACTGTATTCTTTTAAACACTGCTTGGCCCACTAGTTCCAGTCTCTTATTGGCTGGCTCTCACATATTGATCTAACCCATTTCTAATAATCTGTGTAGCCCACGAGCTGCCTGGAGTGGGAGAATCATGGCGACACTTTGACTCAGCTTCTTTCTCCCAGTATTCTGTTCTGTTTACTCTGCCTACCTAATTTTATGTCCTATTAAAGGGCCAAGGCATTCTCTTTATTCAACCAATGAAATTAACACAAAACAGAAGACTCTCTCCCATCACAAAAATGAGTCCATGACCCAAAATGAACTGTAAAGGTTAGATATCAGAGAAACTCCTTGTGCTGTGGTATTTTCACATGGAAAAGCAGCCTGGCTCCTGAAGTTATAAACATGGCTCTCTGTCATAGCCCTCCTGGTTCATCAGATTGAGCCCATCTTCTCAGTGAAGAGGCCCAACTCAGAAAGAACAGGATTTCAGTCCCAGTAGAAGAAAGCATCCTCTGTCACCCCTGAGTACAGGAGGTGGGCATGTCCTGACTAGCTACCACAGCTGTGTGTAGAGGGTGACCTTGGCTTTGTTGCTGTCTTGAGCTTGGCAGGTGCAGGGCACCATGCTCTCTGCTCAGAAACATGGCTGGAAAGCAGCAGTATTTGCTGCTCAGGTTTTTGATGGAACCATGGATTGGGCATCCTACATGGGGCACTCTGGCTCTAGTCAATACGTGTGGATTTGACAATGACCATTGGTTTTCTAGAAGATTCATTTTTGCTCCCCATTCATTGTGGGGCATTTCAAACAAGCTTCGACGTCAGTTATGCCACACATAACCAAATCGCGTGCCTTTAGAGGGGCCAGCCTCTGAGATCTCACTAGGGAGTCAGACAAAACTGTGAAGAAGGGAACCTTTGAGAGGCGAGGGGAGAGGCTGGGTAAGGGTCCACAGTAAGAGCTGACTTGAAGGTCTCTGGGTTTCTAGAAGTCATTGTTACTTAACCTTAATGAAGTCAGAAATACACTACTTAGGGGACGGGGATTTAGGTCAGGTCAGTGGTCAAGCATTTTTCTAGCAATCACAAGGCCCTGGGTTCGGTCCTCAGCACTGAAAAGAAAGAGAGAAAGGAATAGGAAGGAAGGAAGGAAGGAAGGAAGGAAGGAAGGAAGGAAGGAAGGAAGGAAGGAAGGAAGGAAGGAAGGAAGGAAGAGACAGAGGGAGAAAGAAAGATACTATTTAGCTTTGTTGGAGGTAGATACCACATTTTCCTAGATTGGCCTCTTCTACCATATCCTTTAACCATGTCGTAGAACAGTGATAAACTTTAAGTAGACTTTCAACAAATGCATGTTCAAAATATAGCTTGTTAAAATGCTACTTTAATAAAAGCTGGATTCACCACTGCCTCGCTTCAACTTTGGTAGTGAGTTCCCCTGGTTCCTCTTTCCCTTAGCTCTACAAAACAAATACTCAACCTTTACAACATTAGTATCTGTGTTTTTAAAATATATATAAATATCCTTAGCTTTGGTGTTTCTCATTTCCTCACTGCTTTATTTACTGAAAATAGGTACGTTAAACATTCACTGAAAATGCTAAAATATAATTCTCCTAGCTTCCCCATAATCATAGAAAAAGTTATCTGGAGGATAAAGAGAAATGGATTTTATGAAGGTAATTGCATTATCTGAGCCCTCCCTCCTGCAACTTTCTCTGCCTTTTATCATCTTTTTTCCGCATTTAGAACCTACAACCTTAGGGCTGGTGTTTGTGGCCGTGGGATGTGCAGTGGGGGCCATTTCAGAAATCGCATGCTGAGAGCAGGCACCAGACAAATGGGCAATTCTGAGAATCGAGTTCCATGTCTCTGTTCCATGGTCTTGGTATTTAAAGTCATGCAGAATGAATTAAAATCCTGGACAGCTCATTTCGAAGAGGCCCCACATAGGAAAGATCTGAGTTGCATTTTTGGCCTCTCCAAAAGGATTATCATAATTCTTCATTGCATTGGGGGGGGGAGGGAGATTAAATGTAACAACAACTCACAGTTCCTTGTTGATGAGGAAATATGCAAAATACGAGCCACGATTCTGTTGCTGTCGCTTTCAGGATAACCTCACAGATCTCAGCAGAAAGGCGTGTTACCTACACAACCCAGATAGCCACATGGTATAGAAAATCAGTTCCAGTGAATTTGAATGCAAATATGAAACAGACAATGATAAAGCTGTTGCGTTAGAATAAGCAGACGGATCTCTTTGTGATGCGGGAATGCAAAGTGGAACACAAAGATAACAGTGAAGAAAGCAGGGCTGCAGTGCCATCCCTCTGTGGCTGACACTTATTAGAAGGTGACATTTTGTTGGAGCAGGAGTCCCGTGTTCCTACCAGTAGTTATAGAGCCCCTTCTGATAGATGTAGCATGATTAACAAAAACTCAGAGAGAGAGAGAGAGAGAGAGAGAGAGAGAGAGAGAGAGAGAGAGAGAGAGAGAGAGAGAGAGAGATTGGGGTTCAACCTGAAGACCAAAAAAGCAAAGCAGCCAGCCACTGGCTCTTTCCTCTACCTCAGTCTGAAAATGGCGATCCTGCCTCCAGGAATCTCAGAATGAGACTGTGTCTGGGAGCTGTCTCCTCCCATCTTATATTCCTCTCTCATGCTGGGATTAAAGGCCTGCACCACTATCGCCCGGTTTCTATGGCAAATTAGTGTGGTTACTGGGATTAATGGTGTGTGTCACTGCTAGCCTGGTCTGTAAGGCTGATCAGTGGGGCTGTTTTACACTCTGATCTTCAGGCAAGCCTTATTTGTTAAAATACAAATGAAATATCACTATAGATAGACCCCCTAGCCTATTTCCTGTCCAGGCTTGTTCATGTTCTGGCCCCACTATAAATGGAGTTAGTGGAGATAATTATGAGACAGACATTCTCATTCCTTGGGCTGTGTTAAACCACAAAACATGACTTCATTATCAAGAATTAGAATAGACAGCATAATTGATGCCTCTAGAAAAAGTATTTCTTACTAGAAGAATAAGCAGGCTCTCACCAAGAAGAAAGTCCTTTGAGAAAACATTATGTACACATGTGGTCACCTGATTTATGAGAAAGGTAACACGGTACCACAACGGGGAAAAGGTGCCATTTGCTGTTAACAGTGTTCAGTTAACTTGATAACCACCTGGGGACGAAAACCATCCTGACTTCACCTCCCGTAAAACCAGTTCTCAGTGAAGTCACACTCAAATATGAAAGATGCAATAATAAACCTTTTCACTTGTAGAATAAACAGACGGACTTCCTCAGGCTGTGCAATAGCTACAGATTTCTTTAGTTGACTACAAGCATAACAATAAAGGAAAAAATGGTATATTGACTTTTATTAAAATTAGCAATATCTGTTCATTGAAGATACCCCAATAGGGACTGGAGATGTAGCTCAGTAATGGAGCATTTGCATAGATTCCCAAGGCCCTGAGTTCAAGTACCAGTACTACCACCTTCTAAACAAAGAACATCTCAATAGAATGTAAAATCAGAACATAGCATGCAAATATATATTTCTAGTAAACACAGATAGCAAAAAATTCAGAATATGTAAAGATTTCTAAATCTCTATATATGCATATACATGGCATATAATATATAATACATTCTAACAGATCGGTAGAATAATTTAGTGAAGCAAAGGCAAAAGCTGATAATTTTTATGAGAAGAATGTAAAATATTGAATAGGTATATTAAAAGAGTGCTCAGTTTATCACTAGGGAACTATAAAATAAAGTTAAATTATTATACCCTACAATAACAAGTAAGATGAAAAGGAGAAATTTTCAAGCATTGGAGATGATCTGGAACATAGGAAAACACTAGGGAGTGTCTCCCGAAGTAAAAGTGAACGTACTTTCTAACCTTCCTTAGATACACACTCAACAGAATCGCACACTGGTGTCTCACCGAAACCCTGACATTAGGGTATCCCTAGCAGCAATTTACAATAGCCAAGACTCTAGCAACTCCTAGAATCAAATTACTGTCCGCAGCAGGATGGACAAATAAGTCATATATAGAATTTTACAAAGCAGTAAGAACAAGTCTACGGCTACACACACAATTATAGATGACCTTCACAGGTTTTGAACAAAACAGTCCAGGCACATGCTGTATGGTTTCCTTTAGGTACAGAATGAAGGCAGCTGGATTCTACTAGCAGAACCAAAAGAGGCTATTGGTGTAGGCTGTTGGCAAAGGCAGGTCAGAGCAGGCGTTCCTGCCTTGCCAGTGTAGCTTGGGTATACTGAGCATGTCACAGCTTCTTTGGCACACTTGATCCATATGATGTATATGTATTACATGCATGCACACCTACTCTTTTCTTTTTCTAAGTATATTACAATTATAATTTAGAAACCAAATTTGAGAAACCTGTTGACAACTACGGCTCTCTCTGCATTTCACATAAATCTTTCAATTGACCAGGTAAATTTACTCAAGTTCTTTTAAAGCTAATATTTTCTTTTTTCTTTTTTCTCCCCAGGGCCCCCCTGGTCCAAAAGGCGATAAGGTGAGAAAATGTATTAATGAAATTAATTTACTGGAAATCGATATTGGCATGATCTATGGTGTGTGTCTAGACCTTTTTTTTTATTAAGCATCATGTATGGATTGTAGATAAAACTGCCATCTCGTTTTGCTGTTCTGCAGGGAGAACAAGGCGATCAGGGGCCTCGGGTAAGTGATGCACTTGTTGTCCGGGGTGGGAAATGATTTTCCAGCTCACAGCATCCTAACTATCCTTCCTCTTTGTGTAGTGCATGACTTAGTCACAGCTGAAAAACTCGACAAACCACCCATAAGCAAGAAGTATCTTACTAATGAATATGTGGATCTTGTGCATTATCATAGCTCGATTGCAAATACAACATTCTACAGTTAATGAGCCTCCTGGAGCCATCAACAGCCACCTTTCCTGCGACTGTTGGGGTCTTCAGATGTGCACACATTGGTTTGCAGCATAAAGGCCATGTGGTGTTCTCTTGAATTTGGCATCTCCCTCTGATGAAACTTCTCGTGCTATTGCATAACTGCGTTCTAGCATAGATAAAAAATATTATTGCATTTTACGTATTTATTCTCCCTTGTAAGTTTGAACAGCGCTTGTCTGGATTCCTTGTTTGTCCAGATTTGTAAGGCAGATAAAAGGTGTAACACAATTTAGCACTGTGGGCGGAGGGCCGTTTCTTCTCCGCTCAAATGTGGCCCCTTGGACCATCATAACCAATGGCAAATGCTTTGTTGTTGCCTTGGTAGTGCCAAGTCCTTGGGTTCACATCTGTGCCTCATTACTCGAATGTTCAGACATACTGTTCCAATGATGTAGTGGCTCTGTTCAGACATACCTCTCAGTTTTCTCATGTCACTACGCACAAAAGCGAGTATTTGGTTGAAGAGAGAATATTTTTTTTTTCACAGTGGAAACATACATTTAAAATATTCAGGTTGAAAACAGAAACTATGGAGGTGTCTCTGTAAAATATACTGCGTTTGGTTAATTATTGAATTTATGAATACTGCAGAGCATATTTTTTTTTTCAAAATACACAGTTGATGCCGATGGGAAAGGTTTGTGCCTTCATTTTACCTCATGCTCTGTAAAGCTGGGTAAAGGTGCTTGGATTTGCTTTCCTTCCTATTCTTCAGCTGCTTCGAGCTGAAACAGTGATGCCTCCCAGCAGGCAGGTCTTTCAGGACAGTTATCCTGTTGATATCTGCCTCCAAGCTAAAACCTCATCAGTGGTCCATCACTGAGCGTCACGGTACCTACTGTCATGGGTGGGAATGGAATGGAACCCGTAGCCTTTAATGATGAGATGAGAGCCCCTTGATCTGTGGGTGGTGATATTTCACGCGGCTGGTCTCCCTGCATTGAGTGTCACGTCTTTCTACACCCACTATCAGAATCCCTCCGCTTGGCCTCTCCAGGTCCGAGGGAAAGTCCCCATTCTGAGAAGTGTTCCTTTGGCAGGGGAAGTGCAGGGGCGGTTCACAGCCTAGCTGTCATCAGTCAGGGCTCCGTCTTCTTTCCCAGAAAGGTGTGTTGGCTTTCATCGTTACTAAAAGTGATGATTGATTAGAAAGCGAGGCCAAATTTCCAAGGTGAAACCTGACACCACCTGAAATCCACGTGGTTTCGCGTTGCATTACAAACAGAGTCTTGGACTAGGAGCCGAGAAAGTTTGGCCAAAGTTCACGAACTACTTTGACAAACCCAGACAGCCTTTCGTACAGACTTCAGCCAGTTTTCACACTGGCTGGAGCCAAGTTTCACACAATTCAGGCGCCATTTAGCGTTTTGGGTGGAAAATGGCAAGAATGGGTCTTGTTTTCTCGCAGCATCCTAAGTGGCGCATGCGAAGACAATGGGAACCCATGCTTAGCTCATCTTCTCTGAAGATCAAACAGGTCATTTAAAGAGTTCTAGAATTGTGTACACAGCCCATTGTAGTCATATCTGATGAGCTTACTAATCAGGAAATATATCATATAAAAAGGAGCAAAGGAAGAACCCCTACTCTCATAGAAAAGTAAATCAAAACTGGAGAAGTCTTCAATTGTAATGAAAATTGATTGTCGTGTCTTGTGTCTAGGCATAGTATTCCAGCTGATGTTTATTGGAGAATCACTTATTTACTCAGCTACACACTATGTTGGGCTCAAACTCATGATGACTATAGTTTTATTTTGTTTAAATACTACAGATGTCTATATTTGCCCATTTCGTTTTATCCCAGATACAGATTCCTATCTTGTTCCATTTGTTTCAGATGATTTATTTCTTTGCATAATTTCCACGCTGACCCTCCACTATGATTTGTATTCTTTATCGGGGTAGCTTTACATGACGGTAGCCACAGTGTTTTTTCTGAAATATGAAATCCCACCTGGCTCTGTTTCTCCAAATAGCAAAGCAGTATAGTAAGCCACCAAGGTGTGGATGGAAGCAGGAGGGATAAGAACATAGAGAAGCTAAGAGGGCAACACTGCTCTTGAAGTCTTGAGCACACATCAAGGCACATAGACCAAGCATTGCTGTGTCCACAGCACTCTGCTTGATGCGATGGAAACCATGAATGGATCCACTTCTTTCTCCCTGCCCCCACCCGTGCCACCAAATTCGAGCTACTGCTATCTCACACAGTCTTCCAATTCATCTTGTTTCCACTCTTGGCCCTGATGCATTTTCTGCCAAACAGCCAGAGAGATTGTTTTCCTTTGTAAATCAGGTCATGGTAGTCTTGGCATAAGGCTTTGGAGTTAAGTGCACGCTGCTGTGTTGGCTCCTTTGGACCCTTAAGGTTGCCCTTTGCCACCTCGTCTCACCCTGTTCTTTTTTGCCCACCAACTTCAGGCCACAACTTTCTGTGTGTTCCCAGACCTCTGCACCGCCCTCACACACCGCTCAATGACGTTTTCAGTTACCCTTTCTTCTGAGTGTCTTGTCCTCAGCTCCTATTGACTGAGATCGCATCACAGACGTCACAGTCAAAGGAAAATGTCCCTCACTTCCCATTCAGAGCTTGATCCTTACTTACTTGCTTGATGGCTATAAAGTTTGTCCTTTTCCCCCTACAGCACAGAAGGAAGACTTGGTCTGTCATAGAATAGTAAGGACTTGATACATCTTTGCTAGGTTTTGCCACCTCCAAGAAGTGTAGGCTCTCTTACACTTAGTCTTAGGTCCCACTAAGAACACTGTGGTTGTATATCTACCCCTTATGTGGTTACCCAAAGAGAAACTGGGAAAGTGAAAATCCTTCCATTTCCTGTGTCTCACTGGGCAGCCTTGACTACACAGCAAGTTCAAGACCAGCCTAGGGTGCATCAGAAACTGCCTCAAGCAAACACTAGCCACTTTGGTTGAGGTCAGTTGAGGTCATTTGAGCTCTGGCTTGGCCTCTCTTTTTAAAGTAATCAAAATTAAGCAAAATATTACACCTTCCAGGGAGTGAAAATACTATAAAAATTATACACATGGAAAATAAAAGAATTCATTTAAAGAACAGCGACATTTCATTTGCTAAGAGCATGTTAAAGATTGAAAAGTATCAGACCGGTTTATTTTAATGAAAGCTATATTTTGTGGAAGTTGAATGTAGCCTGCATGACAACAAAACGTCACTGAAGGTTTCTGCATCCCTAGACTGTTGGGTGTCAGTAGTGAAAGAAACTAAGAACTGAGAGAGCAAACAGACAGGAAAGTTCTGCCCATCACCCAAGGCAAGCCCATAAGAATCCAGGCTGTAAAGAGGTTGTCTGTTCCTGATAGAGAGGTCTGCAGAAGTTGAGATGCTCTGCTTGGGATAGCAGGTGTATCTGGAGGGATAGGGCCACCTGGGGCACACAGGTCAGAAGTTGGACAGTGAGGTGTTGCACTGGTGAGCGGAGGAGGAGACACAAAAGGATGCACCACACCAAAGCACACGGCCGTGGGACCTGAAGTGTGTCTTACCCTTATCATAGAGCTCTAGAAGGCAGGTGAGGGTGTTGATCACATAACTCCACGGTGTTGTTATGAAAGTCTCTGCGGATCTCATTCCTCTCTCTTAGGTATGTAAGAATGCCCATTCCTATCTCTCTGCCACCTCTGCTTTTGTATTAGCACAAAGGATAAAGCCTGCATCAGGAAAACAAACTCTCTTCCGTAATCTCATAGACCTCTGCTTGTGTCTCGTGGCTCAGACTGGATCCCATAGTTGTCCTGAAGCTTGGAGGAGCAGTGAGGGGAGGTCGTGACACTATTATATAAGCAGGTGGCAAAATGCCAAGTGAAAACCTGGACTTGTGAAGGGAAAAGCAGGATGCCACTCGTTAAAAAGAAGTTGATGAGCCGGGCGATGGTGGCGCACGCCTTTAATCCCAGCACTCGGGAGGCAGAGGCGGGCGGATCTCTGTGAGTTCGAGACCAGCCTGGTCTACAGAGCTAGTTCCAGGACAGATTCCAAAGCCACAGAGAAACCCTGTCTTGAAAAACCAAAAAACAAAAAAAAAAAAAAGAAGTTGATGAGAGAGAAAGCTTAGGACATAGGGCCAGGGGTAGATTTGAGCTGTATGTGGGTTTGGGTTCAGTAGCAGGGACCATGGATTATAATATAGTCCAATGTGACTAGATTATATTTTTAAATTATGTCTTATTTTTTAAATTATAATATAATTACATTATTTCCCCTTCCCTGCCATCTTTCCAAATCCTCCTGTATTGTTTTGTTTTTCAAATTCATGGTCTCTTTTTCATTAATTGTTGTTACCCACACACGCACATACACACACACACACACACACACACACACACGTGCTGCTAGGGACAGGTTTTTATGTTCTAAAAGCAGTCTGGAAGTACAATTAAAGGACAAGGTAAGAAACTTCAACACAGGTATTAGAGCTGACAGCTCTCAGAGCTGGTAGAATATAGGAGCTGGAAAAAAAAAAGGCTGAGCTTTCTGATTTGGTACTTAGTAACTTTAAGTGCGGGTTAAGCTTCAGTTATGTGGAATCTGTGACCTTGGTTGACAAAGTTCACTGGAACACTACAGCTAAGAGAACATGAGACTAGACCTGTGAGGTGGCTGGAGAGGACAGCTAGACCATTGAATGAGCCGTCCTGGCAGGGAGTGAGGCCATGGGATAAGAAAATTTGATTGTGAAAAAGTACAAGGAAGATGTCTCTGGGGTCA